ATGCAGCTCTCCCGAATCCAATGTGCAGAGATAGCATCTTCTATAGCTGAACATATCACCATTTCTACCTAGTGGTCACCGCCGCCGTGAGTTTACTCTCAGTGATTTGGCAGGACATAGCGTGAGCTCCCTCTCACTTCAGACAAAATCTCCTAGGCTAACACAAGCGTTTTTGTTAAAAATCTTTAAATTAACGCAGCTAGTTTTGTGTGGAGCAATTTGAGGGCACTCAGACAAGCCATCCTGCAAATTAGGCAACAGGGTGGTAACCTCTAGCAGAGGATGGTAGCAAACAGCTGGACAATGGTAACTTCCGGACTGTAATAACAGCTACTTGCAGAGTGAGCATCTGTTTGTACCTTCAGGGACTACCAAAAGGACAAGGGGTGGTAGCTGCTTTAAAGCAGCATAAGTATGGGTTAAATTTCCAGATAATGTTATTAATGACTAGAATTTCACGTCCTACCCAAATTAGCATGGCCTCTTTATAAAGAGCTTGATTTTGAAGAACTGTCGTCTCTCACAGACAGAAATATGTCTGCAGTACACTGCCACCTGAGAGAGCTGCATGTGAGCTGGTGAGTACTGCATAGCTGGATAAATGGTAGCTGTTCTGTTTCCATGCAAAAGTATTCCGAGTAGGCACATGGGCTAGGAGTTTTACAAGTCCTTAAATTATGCTGACACTTTTGAAAAAGTCTAGTCCTTTTCCTTCAAACTTCTGTGCTGTAGTATTATACCTGAAATGAGAAGAGATGTAGGTTTGAAAAGCAAAGGAAAAGAAGGAAAAGTCACTTATTTTTTGAACGTGAGAACATGCTACCTGGCTCAGGGAACAGCTGAGAAAGTCAGTGGAGGGGAGACAACAGAAGGAGATGTTAACTTTGAATATCATTGGATTAGTTTCAGTTCCACAAGTTACTTCTGAGCCTAAGGAAACATTTGATATCCAATTTACATTTTTATTAGAGGAATAATACATGGTAGCATCATAAAAGTGATAAAAAGTGATCCTCAGATCTGGACAAAATCAGCACAGACTTGTCACTTTGGTGGTCACATTCCTGGATTCTCCAGGACATGACTCACCCTACAACTAACCATTTAGCAGTACCACTTAGGGGTTTAGAGGAGAAATTACCCAGGAGCCATGTGAACTGCTAAAGCATTTTGTGTCATTGCAGGTCTGAAGAGTCCTTAATGCTAAGGGTTTGGAGGGCTTAGATTAGAGGCAGATATTCCTCAGAGACCGGGATCTGCTATAAGCAGCATACTTCCTGCATTGACACAGGAAGCAACACAAAATAATCATTATAATCACTTTCAAGTGATGTTCATTGGCCTTATAAATTAAGATCGCAATTAACAGAGAGAAATAATACTATTACTGGGGCTGAACTGAGAAAAGCACGTGTATGTAGAGAGAGACGGGATCAAAGTAGTATCTCCAGTCCATTTCATGAATGCATGCATTTCTAGAATCAAATCCTTCAAGAGCAAGCTGGGTGAGTAATGCCCTTTTCCTAGGATTAAGCTTAGGAAGGAACATTTGATTCTTCATCCTGTTTTTCCCTACCTGCATTCTTTACACAAACAATTAATAGGATTTTTTCGCCATGGCAGGGAGTATAAAAAGAATAAATGACAGGCTGAGGAATGCATCCCAGGACCTAATAAAATCAACAAGTTTCCCTATAGACCAGAAAGGTGCTGTGTATCCTGAGCTTATTGAGATTTTCAAGGAAAGAGGTGGATGCCATGCTGGACTATGCACTCAAACAGTTTGCATGCTTTCTCTCCTTGTATAGAAGACAACCTGAAGAAGGGACTCTTAGCCCTTTGTGGAAGGGAAGAACATCAGTTTTCTTGTCTTTTCTTGTCTGGGAAAAAGCATGACATTTTAAAGTGTTAAGAGGTTATTTATCTTAGCTTTTAAAACTCCATTTGTCATAAAAGAGACAATTGTAGTTATAATCCCAGTGAAAATGCATGGATAGTGTTTCTGAGATTTTCTTTAGAGATATGGAGGCGGTTGCTGTGTGTGTGCAAAACTAAAAAAGGAATTATCCTGTTCTGATTTCCTACTCATTCGATGTCTCCTAATCTCATCTTGTACTCACTGGTCACTTGTATGACAGGGGAAGAGGAGGGAGAACCTTCAGTGGGTGCTAGCCTCCTATCCCTGAGTGATCAGAAGCTAGCTGCTTGCAGGAAAGGGGCTTGTTTTCAAAGGTGTAGAGTGGCTGGTTCTCTTTCAATTCTAGAATGGAATTCAGGCTGCTTTTGTGCCCTGTTAAATATGGGTTAGAGAGGTAAAGAGAGACAGCTTAAGTAGTCAGCCCATCATAACAGAAATAATAACATTATTAAAAAGGACAATAGGAAAAAAAATGACTGCTTTTTAGTTAATCAATCAGTTTGCCTTTTGGGCCATGCCCTGCGCCTCTGCCGTGCTCCTGTTGTCTCCAGGATGCTTTCCTCTCCAACTGATCCAGAAGGTGACCACTGTAATACAAACGAGAGCAGAGCAATGGTAAACTGTCATTTTTAAAGAATTAAAAATACAAAAATCTAGTTCTTCTCATGCCCCCATGCATCATTGTACAGGCTCTGAACAGACAAGCCCACTATTACAATGTTGTCAGGGCCCTGCTAGTTTTCTAGTTCAAATCCTTGTTCATGCTGTTTGCTAAGCACTTGTTCACTGTGACAGCTTTCAGCAAAACAGAACACACTGAATGCTTCTTTCCAAACAGCTCTGTCCTGCTGGGCTTCAAGTGAAACAAGCCCTTCAGACTTCATCATGTGAACTTTTCATAAGGAACAATCTCCTTTAGACAATTCCTTTCAGAGATACTATCCGTGAAACTGGGACTTGGGGATGAGGTGACATCACAGCCTTCTTCCTCTGGCCAGGGTCATGGCCACCAAAGTTGTATTTGTCAGGAGGCCTCCACATAGCATGGTTCATGATTTCCTTAATCCTTAATTAATGTTTCCCCATTAAAAAATCCCCAACAACTTTAAAGTTTATTTTAATATGTTTTCTGTTGAGAGAAAAGCAAATGCTTCTGTGCAACAACCCAGCAAAGGCTGGCTTGTAAAAAACAGAATTGACTAGTATAAATGTAACTCACATGCAGTTAAATCTTAAAAGCTGGTGGACCAAAACTGAGGGAGATCTTCGCCATTTCCATTGTTGCTGTCTGTACATTATTCCATTCCCCTCTCACTCATCTGCCTGCGCTCTTCTCGGTAACAATCACCTGTAGAAATGAACAAGAGGCTTGATGACCAAGGAAAAGTGCTATCTTCTTATCAGTGAGTTAGCCAGTAACCCCGGGCAAAGTGTGTTGTGTTACACAGCCTGGGAGCATGCACAGGGTTGTGTGCACTTCAGTGGCAAGAAATTAGCCCATTGGGTCTCCTCCCACCCCATTGCTGAGGGGAGAAGTTAGAAAGGTACCACCACCTCCTCAGGAGGTGGCGGTCAAACTGATGACCTTGAGAATGTTACTTTTACCACCCTTCTTCACACAAATCTGTGAAAGCTGCCCTCCCCCAACCCAGCCGGCCACCACCCCAAGCATCTGTCTCTGCTGGGTAGGAGAGAAATAGTAATGTGATAAAAGCACAAGAGAAACAGCCATTATGTAGAAAAGTGAAAGGATCAGAAGGCTGAAGCTGTGTTATGGAGTGTAGAATGTGTTACTTCTGGTAGTTGGGTGGCTTATTGACAGAGGAATGGAGTGTTTCTTTGGTTCTGTATTTTTCACTTTTCTTGCTTCGGTAAGTTTATATACAAAAAATGATATCTCATGAATAAGCTGGTATTGATTACTGACTTTTTTTCCTACTGTATTTGTAATGTATTTTTTTTTTAAAGAACTGTTCTTCTGCACTCCTTTGTAAAAAAGAAGATAGAAAATATCCCCAAAATGCATTAAGAAGGCATTGACATTAAATATTTTAAAGTCAAATGCCCATGAGAAAATCCAAATGTAAAGAAACGTCCTTCACTCCCAAGTGGTGTTTAGTCTTTCACAAGAACATGGTAATAGCATTTTAACTGCCTGCTGGTAAAGCTGGTAACTCTGAAACCTTTCTGTGTTTTACCCACCTTCTGTGATGAAATATGAGGGACAGTATCACAATTATGAGCTCCAGAGAGCATCTTTTCCTTACCACAATTATATCTGATGTTATTGTCTGATAGCGGATATAAATATTATCAGTTCAAAGGGAAGGCAGTCTGATATGCATATGGGAATTATTCATAAGAAGGAATTCTAAAGTATGAACCTAAACTTTGCACTTTAACCAGGCTCTTGTGCCACAGCCAGAATCACATGAAGTAGGGGACAGCTTTGGAGGAGTAAGTCTGTGGAGCTGCCCACAAGCAGTACAGTTGTGGTTTGGTGACACGGCTGAGCCAAACTAAGAGCTAGCTGCTGCCAAAAGGGTCATAGTCTTGCTGATTCCCTTGCACTGCCACTGGCACTCATCTGAAAACAGGAAACTGGTTCAGACAGCTAGCCAGGCAAAAAATTGCAGAAAGGTACTCACAAATGCTACAGCAACAAGATCCATTGAAGCACTGAATTCATGATAGCGAGCTCACAGCAAAGGGGAGCAGGGCAGAGAGCAACCTGAGCCTGCAGAGGTCAATCCAGAATGGTGCCCGTGTGGGTTTGCAGAGGCCCTCATACATCTCTGAAAGTTATGGATCTCACATGGAATTTCTTCCCTCTCTGCTTCTGTAAATGTTACTTTCAGAGCAAGGTTTTATTTGTCTGACAGTGACATTCTATGGGTTAGACAAAGTCTAAGGATAAATGATTTATGTGATGATTTGGTCTACACCATGTCTGCTCATTGTGATACCTCCTGTACCATCTTTGGCTGAAATTCAATGAATAGATTGAAATATTTTTCTTTTTTAAGTGTGGAAGGAGCCATTTTGTTACTCTACCTGACTTGTAATATTTCATCCATTTTCAGTCACGTCAGGGAATGTCACTCGTCTATGTGAATCTGGCCAGTGATTCAGGATTTTGGAGCACCTCCTGTGAGTATGCCATGATAAAAATAGCCTGAAACAGTGGTACAAGATAATCCTCTCAAGACTTAGCAAGGACATTTCTGGGGAAGCGCCCAGAGTGTAAGCTCATGGATTTTGTGGATATGGGGACAGGCAAACCCTTACTATCCTACAGTGTTTTGTCTCCATGTTTTGTCTCCTAGTTTCCTTTCCTAAGGGAGCTGCACTGCTCCAGTTACTGTCTGTGTTGGCACCTACCCCTCCTGACTCAAGTAGCATAGATGCAAGCACTTGCATCCAGCACTCAAAGGTTACTGACCAAAATATCATCCCCACTGACAACACATCAAAGAGCCCTGCCAACTGGAAATTCCAATATAGGCAGCACTGAAAGATCAGGAAAATTAGTGGATGTCACAAAGGCAGCATCTCTTGTGCACCACATCCGTTTTCTCTTCACTATCAAGGGCGGGGAGGGGGGTGTCTGTTCACTCGGACCACTTCTACCCCTCAAAAGACGAGAGAACAACTGGGATATTGGCAGCTTCCTTTTAAGGTGGTGGAGTTTAGCTCAGCTACACATAGCAATAGATAAAGTAATGAGAACAGCATTCAGGGCTCTTCTACCTGTGCAGGAATAACCAAGTATGTACAACAGCAAAGCAGTAGATCTTTATTTTTATTCCACATGCTTCCAATGGGAAATACTCACTTCTAACTGCTAAAAGCTGTGCACTGGCTTCTTAGGCCTTTGGCCATACTCTCTCCGGAATACTAAATTAAATTAGTAAAAATTTGGAGCATGCTTGGAGTAACCCCACAAATTATTCACAGTCCTGTGTAAATGTGTGCGCACACAGAGTTACCCTATTGCTATTATTGTAGAAACCATTGTTCTTTATAGTCGCACCTTAATGAAATTCCATGTGGAATTTCACAGATATTTCCATGATCGAATACAGAAGGAAACTTTGAGGCTGATATTTAAAGGTACTGAATATATTTAGCTCTGCTAGATTTCAGCTGGAGATATACTTGCTCAGTACCAGTGAATCTCCTCATTGATATGAAAAAAGGGAAACCATCTTCATGTGCAAGTGTTCATATCTGTTTCTTTTCATACCTCAGGACCACACTGATGCATAATTCCCATTGAGGGCACTGGGAACTTTCCGTACCAAGTGAGATACTAAAATCATTTTAGCAACAGTCAGTGACTAAAGACTAATCCCTGCTAAGGAAAGAAAACAGAAGAGGGGAAAAGCCCAGAAGAATGCCAAAATATTTACAAATCTATTTGCTATAATGTCTGTTTTAAATCTAGTTGTATAAAATCAGACTTGATGTTAATAATATTGTTTTAACGTAATTTGCCTTAAAATGCTCATCATATCCCATGCTGTCTCATTCACATTCACCTAGATTCGCCTGTGATTAACAACTGATTTCAGGGTTAGCTGGGTGTGGAAGTTAGTCATACAATTTAGACTGCGTAACCTGTGACTCTGTGTTACAGAAAATCATAAATAACAACCAGCTTATACATATTCTTTGTGCTTTGAGTTCATCTAAGTCCTTATATAAACACACAGAGGAAGAGAGAGTAAGAAAAGGACTCCGGACAGGAGATGCACTCCAGACAGGAGAACTTTAGTGTAGAAAGGATTGAATACAGCCATATATTGTATTTGTTTATGCTGTTTAGAGGAACATAACTTCTGTGCTTCACTATTTTTCCTTAAACGTGCGTATCAAACTTCAAGCGCAGGCTGTAATAAATGCAAACAAACGTATTCATTCACCCTTTTCTCTCCTGTTCACTCCTCTGCATGCTCTCGTCACTCTCAAAAATGAGAAATGCACGTTTCTAAGTGAGGGGATGAGGGGGCACAGGGACTGAGCTTTTTCTATGCAACCCTTGCTTTTTCACGATTCATTAAGCCCTTTCTCCCTCGCGTGTAATTGGACCCCTCTCATTTACATGCATGAGGGACGCATTAATTCTGAGAGAGGTACTGCGGCCCGAAAACCAACAGAGATGGCCCTTGAGCCAGGGTGCTAGAGGCGCAGGGAAGCTCGGAGAGAGCAGCCCGCGGGACCGCATCGTGCCTCCAGAGCCCAGGTCGGCTGGGCAAGCAGCAAGGCGCAGCCAGGGCCCTGCCCGGCTCACGGTGGTCTGCGCGGCCCGGCTGTGCGGATGGGTTTATCTGCTGCTCAGAGCGCGCTGGGCTGCCTGGCCTCACCCCGGGGCCATCGTTCGCTTTTGAACCAATCTTTGCAGATCATCTCAGCTCCCCAGAGAAGGGCTGAGGTGGCGAACAGCTCAACTGCCTGGGATCCTCTGCTCACTGGATTTTGGCAGCTGGTTAATTAATTAGTTAGTGCTGATAGAGAATTTAGTGCTACTGTGCAGCCTCCAGGGTTTAAATACAGGCCCACTTAGGCTGAGCTGGCCATTTTAGGGAGGAAAGAGGGAAGACACCCTGTTTCTCTCTTTCCCTGTGCTGCAGAACATAAGTCTTGTTGGGCCTTTTCCTTACGAGATAATGTCAGGTGTAATAGTTTTACTTCTCCTCTTCATGGTGGAGAAAGTGTCCAGCCAGAAGGTGAAATATTTTAGTTGGCTTTTTACCAAGTTAAATATTCACTTGGAGAACTGCATCCCACGAACAGTAGAAACTGCTCCTCACTTTCTTTACACAGGCTTTGTTACTCAGCTCTTGAAGTTGTTGGGCCAATGTTGAGCTATATTAAATAAAGCTCTGGTATTGCCGCCCACTAGCAACTCCTGATTTCAACCAGCAAGATTAAATTATAATCAAGCTCATTATAAGCTAGATACTGAATAACAAATTTTGTTTTTTAAGCTGTGGCTTTAACTGTATAATACATATGCCAGATTATCTGCATATGGGTCAGACAAAAACTGAGGCACTGGTGCATGCCCTGCAGAAGAGCTGATGCCTCCCTAGGAATACCTGGGGCTGTCCTGCCCCGGCCGCTCTGCGTGCAGCTGCGCTTTCTAGCACTCACACATGGGGAAACGAGCAAGAATTATACTTTTTCTGGTACGGAGAATAGTAGGGACATTTGCTGACTGATACTGGGCAAAGTGTAAATAGCTTCACATTTCTGGCTGACGTCTTTGTCACAAGAGGATCTGCGGGGCACGCAGCCTTAGCAATTTACTCCGAGAAACAGCAGTTTCCTTTACAGGTCTTACGAGATGATATTTCACGGTAGTAACAATTTGGTAATTTTCAAACCTTTAAGAGGAAAGAAAAAAAGACTGTGATATTACCTTATGGTGTAGCACATGGGATTGTGCCTATTGTTACATGTCAAACCTCACTTTAGAGTTTTTGTTCTTGACAATTTAAATTTTTTTATTTAGTATGAACTGGTTAAGTGCATTTGATGGGAGGAAAACATTTTAAAACTATCAATCAGGACTAATATTTGCATGTTGTCGATAGGAAAGTTTTGGAGCCATGAAAGAAAGAATATACATGGACATATTAATGTGTTTCTTCTAAGCTCTTACGCTGTATGCTCATGCCCATCTTTTAGGTTAACTTCTATTTACAAAGTTGAAAAAAAAAGTGAAATCCCTGCAGAGAGCAGCCAGCCACAGTTCTGAATTTCAATGCATTATTCTAGATGAGTGCCTTTGATTTTAAACGGTAACGTTGTTGCTTTAATCAGGAGACAATCCTTATATATTAGTTGTACTTGCCCATAATTGTAAGAGCTAAATGATACACAAAACTGGATACACATCTTTGCAGGCCGATTAATGGGGAGGACTGAAAGCAAAAGTAAACACTAACCTTACAAAATAAAAGAAGTTAAAAGATAAGTGTTAAGGACCTTTTTCTTTTTGGAGAATAAAACAAGATTTAGTAGCTTTCCACTTAATTTAAATGAAAAGAATCGCTACCTTACATATTGCACTGATAATGCAGGGGACAGAGAAAACAAAAAGGTCTTTGTAGCAGTGACACCTCCTATAGTTGTTGTGAAGAAACTTTTCCCCTTGGTATCTGCTAACTAATTCTAATTAATGCTGCACATTCCTCCACTGAAATCATTTAATGCATAACAAGGGGGGTGAAAAAAAGAGAGAGAGGGAGAGAAGAAATTCTCAATGCTCGTGATTGCCCTGTTCGAATTATGGCAGTGAAAGCCCGGGCCCCCTAACCTACTGTCTATAAAGCAGAGCTTTGAAAGGGAACTGCAACCTACAAAAGCTGTCAATCTTCCTTGCCCCGAAAGCCTGGGTTCACATGGATTCAAGTGACAGCCTCCTCCCCCGCACACAATGCATCAATCTGTCTCTCCCCGAGCACCCACAGCCCATTGTCTGAGCCGCAGGTGCCACGGCAGCACCCAAGGCTGCCGCCCTCCCCGTGTGCCCGCACCCGCACAAAGGGGCCGGGGAAGCGAGGTGGCGCGCGGTGGCCCATGGTCACATGGGCAGGGTGCCACTGGCGAAGGTGGGTTTTTTTTAAGCGACTGTGTATGTTTTTTCACTTTTTGCTGTGTGTTTCGGCTTCGAGCAGCATCTCGCCCCTCTGCCAACCTGCTCTGCTGCTGGGGCCAGGTTGGCGTGGGGTTTGGTGGCATCTTGGTTCCTATCATCTTGAAAATATGGCCCCAGCGCTGTGATTAGAGGGCAGCACTGAACGATGGGGCTTTTTAAAGTATCAGTAAGAACAGAGGAGGCAGTTGCTCCAGCCTGCCACCGTGCATCTCTGAAGAGCTTTAAACTCTCTTCCCGTTGTTGTAATGGGCAAACAAGCCCCGGGGACATCTCTGTCCAAAATTCTCTGCTACTGTTTTGCACAGTGGTGTGGAGGGGCATAGAGTCCCAGCTGTCCAGGCACTGAAGGACAGTTCTGGAGGGCCATGTTATTGGTGGTTTGACTGCCCATTTAATACTAGGCTTTGACTGGCAAAGATCTGAACTATATTTATGTCCCAGGTTTTCTGCTGACCTTCAGTAAATTGCTTAACCACTTGATGTCTCAGTTTCCTCTCTGTAAAATGGAGTGAGGTTTTTCTTCTCTATCCTTTCATCTCCTTACTGATAGACACTTTAAGTTTGGGGATACAGGGTTATTTCTGTGTGATTGTGCAATGACCCTCACAACAGGACATTTCTGCTGTAATACCAGTAAGTGGTAATGGTAATATAGATGATGATGAAGACTCACATGACATGCTACATACATCATGCTAACACAAAGTGACAAAAATGGCAATGTTTCCTCTTGTCCTGCTTTTCATGTCTGAAAATCTGGAATTTGTTTGTTTGATTGTTTCTCTTTTTCTGTTAGATTTGCAGTATTGAGTTGGTCTAGAAAATCCCGAGGATGACCAAAGAACTTAAGGTGTCAGGAAAGTACGCAAGGAAACTGAAAGTGGAGAAGAGGGAGCTCATCCATTCACATGCCATTAGTAGTGGTGAGTAACTGGCTATTAATGCTTGTTTTCTCCAACACTTGCTGCACAGATCTATCCTGATCTCTTTCAGTGAAAGCGCATAGCTTGCTGTTGGGTAAACCGAGGAGCCTTCTAGGCCCTAAAGACAACACTTAATAACCTGGCCTTTTCTAAAGCTAAAATTTACATGAAATACACTTCTTTCCACTCCCCTTTATATAGCATAAGATATCAAAAACAAGCAGGCAAACAAATAAAACAGCACAAGCTTGACTTCTCAAAGTTTCTTTCCAGGTCACTTTAGTTCTGAAATGACACTGTTTGTTCCAGCAAGTCTCCTGTGCTTGTTGCAAGTGACACAGCTATGTTGTTTTGCATGTGCATCCTACCCTGAAGGCTCTGCCAGACACTGATGACATCCCAGGGCTCCATAGCATGGGTGCTGCTGGCAGCAGAGCTCCTGCAGCATTGAGTCGAGTGCAGACTAATTGCTAGAGTATTTTCTTTGCTTTTGGTGAGGGTTTTGCTTCAGCGACTGCAAATTAAAGTGACATGGCAATTCAAGTCAGCATAATGAAATGATGCTTTTGGTGCTTTGATCTTGCTCCTTAGATAGATAACTCCTAGGGGAAAAAAAAAAAAAGGAATTGCTGACTAATTTGATACTAAGCATTAGTTGGAGATCAGAAATGCCAAAGCGCAGAGCATGCTTGTAGATGTGATGATAACATCTCTAGGTGAAGACAGGTAAAAAATGTCCAGTTCTTCAAAGGCAGCTAAGCATGTTCCACTTTGCTACAAAGAGCAACTTTCGTTTCAGATGGATGTTTTAAAAACACCACCAGGAGTTGGGACTCACAGAAACACCATTGCAGCACTGTCCAACCCAGCCAGGTAACCCTGTTTGGCAGAACTGTTTATTCTGAGCTAATTTAAAGAAAAATCACAGATGTAGGATGCTGACTCTGTTGCAGTGAAGCAAGAAGTTGAGTGTCTGAACAGAAACAGAGGTTCACTGTTGCTAATTTTCTCTCGGTTTGGGCTGACAAAGTGTCTGCAGACAGATTTTGAGCCTCCTAACAAAATATATGACAAAAGCAAGTTCAAAGTGGCATTATCTTAAATCAGCATTTCCTCACAGCATGTGATCAAACAATCATGTTGTCTGATACTTCTGGTTTTCCTTACTTTCCTTCATGACTAGATAAAATGAACAGATTATTCAGTATATCAGACCATATAAAAGCTCAGCTATCTCAAGCAGAGCTTTTTTTCTACAACAGGTTCCCACTGATGTCAATAGTAAAAATTTTCTAATTTCAAGCGTAGGATCAAGTCATTAAACTGAAGTCTTACTGAAAGTCCCGCCTTCTCTTTTGGGAATGCTGCTGTCAATTAGCAGGTTTTGTTTCCTTCTCAGGGCCAAGTCAGTTCTAAAGTATCTTGAAGAGTCAGTGTTTAATATACTTCATTTAGGACAGGGCCCAGCCGTTACTGGGACAGGGCAATAGCGCAAAACAAAAATTATGTGGGCAGCATTGTGCTTTGCTTTCCTTCTTGCCCTTAGTCTTAGCTTTGAAATTCACATGCCTACATGTGATATTAATGGAACTTACAGGAGATGTTTCCCTGAAGTCAGCATTTCACCCAAGTTTTGAGAGAATCATGCTTGTGACTTGAGCAGGCTCTCAGCTGGGCAATCTGAAAGTAATCGCATGTGCTTGACCTGATTACCTGTGCATGAAGTCATGATCTGGCACCCCTGGCTGAACAGTGGTCTGAATCATGTTCTCCTGAATTCAAACAGTTTAGGAGAAGTTTAAATCTGTTAGGCACAGGAAGAGGTAGTTTGACCATGATTCCTCTCATTGAAGGTGGTTGCTATCATTGAACAACAAAAAAATAAAGCTAGGATAGCTCTTCAAAGAAGCTATCTGCTTCTCTTATGTACGCAAACTCCTTAAAGCACACAAGTGATTTGATAGAAATACTTATGGTTAAAAGTAAAAAGACAGCAGCCTGGAAGTTAACATGAGCTTAACTCATCCAAAATACAGTTGGCAGTAAGGAAAATGGAATTGAACTATGGAAGTGATTCATTAGCCATATATTCAGTTGCAGCAGTGTTGCAGACAGTTATGCTGGGCCTTAATTGCTTCTGTTAACATCACATTCTAGAGCTCATTAGTGATCAACAATGTGTATTAATATCATTCAGACAAGAACTAAAGATTAAGGTGGAAATCCATTTGCTGTGATGGCCATTAGTCAATTCAGAGCTGTTGAATGATGCTTGAGAATCTAATATGAAGTGGGAGGGTCAATATTTCATCAGGCAGATTCTCTCATCTTACTGTGAAAAGTTCTTTGTCTATGAAAAAGTTACTTAATTAAAAATGCACCCTTGAAAAGGACACATTTTAGGTACTGCACTGTTGGTCTCCTGAACATTTTAAATTATAAACAGTGGATAGGACCAATACTGAGTCTGACAGAAGCACTTCCATTTTAGGAGAACTGTGGTGCTTGCCACAATGGTAAGTTTGGCCCAATGTTTGCAATTTAACTGTTTTCAAATGTAGAGGGTTCCTAGCTTCAGTTTCATTTTCTGGCTGCGCGCAGATCACCTGCTTTTATGTAAGCATAAATATGTAAGCATATGTTGGGATTTTTCCAGATGTGTCTGACTGACAGTGCAATTTGTTACTCCTTGTTCTTAATTCATAGCAATGAGATCCCACGAATGGCTAAGCATCGGATGTATGAACACGAAATGTGCCAGTAACACAAAAAATGTTATTCACAGTTGGAAGTAGCAGTAGAGTAAGTTCACCTTTCTACCATTTCTACCATTTTGATACCATCTCTTCTCCCCTGTCTGCCTGTGTGCCAACAAATGAGGTCCATTTCCACTTATGACTTTGGCTTGAATGTCTTTTTCTTTAGGATGTAGAAGACCTGCATCCTGGAAATCTATGTGAACTGAGGAACAAACATGGTATGAGCAAAACAAAGACACAGGCAGCAGCTTGGGACGTGCAATGTGGCTCCTGTTGTCAGGTCTGAAAAGAGAAGTCACCTTCTTCATCTTTCCAGTGTTTGTTATCCCTATTGAAAATTACTTATTATTAGCCCTGAGTAGAAATTCTCTCCATCTCCCACAATATCCAAGGAAAGTGAGTCAACAGCGGTAGCTGTGCAGTGAACAAAAAGCAGTGCCTCTCAGATAGGGGTGACTCCATCCAGAAAAGGAAGTGTGGCCAAAGCAAGGTATAGACTTCAGATGGTTGTATTTCCTTGCTTGAAACATGAAGTTTAGCAAAGCTTAATAGCCACCGATGCCAAAGAGAGGAATTTTGTTTCCCAAAATGCCAGTTCCTAGAGAAGGGGGAACACAAATACAACAAAATGCATTTGGTAGTTGCTTGAAGTATATTATTGCTTCAGGTCAAGCAGACATTTCACTACAGCAAATGGGGGCATATGAATTTGAGCCTGGTTTGGCTTTGCTGTGCTTCTTAACTCTACTGACCTCCTATGAATTTTGTGGTATCCATTGCAGAAGGTATGCAAAGACATGTGCAAAAAAAAGAGCTGACAGTGCTGTTAGTGCATTAGCTGTTTTAAGTTTGTAATCAATGGAGCATTGTCATGTGTAGATGCCATTTGAGTAACATGTAGGGCCTGATCTGCCCTCTGTTGAAGTCCCTGGGAGTCTAAAAGATGCTTAATTAGCTGTTTGAACAGAGTAAATACATTTAAAGAAGTTTCTACTTTTTGTTTTGGTTTTACTTTTCATTTGCTTTGTTTCTTTGTGCAGAGGTGTTGTTCAAGGATTATTGATATATTCTGGCATGTACCAGCACAGCTGGCAGCCCAGCAGCAGTGTTGTCAAAGGGTGGAAGGCTGCTCATGGGCAAAAGTGCCTGGGCTTGTCATACAGAAATGCCTGCACATGGGCTATCAGAAGAGTGCTATGTCAAAGCTGTAATATTTTAGTTAAAAGAAATGAAAAATTAAAAGAAAATTCAAAGTAAAGGGAGAGAGTTGGGTCTTGGATATACGAGTGGGGGTCCAGTTCTGGTGTACAGATTTCTAGGAGGAAGCGGAACACAAAAGAGTTCAAAGGAACTTGATTCAGAAACATTAAAAAAAAAAAAAAGTTAGTATAAAATTTGAGGAACTCTCTGTTCAGTTTATTAGAAAAAATAGTAAAGATGTAGTCTAACTATTTACTTACTTAAAAAATAAGAGTTTTGTAAAGGAGGGCTTTCTATTTATGTTGACAAAAGATTTAAAAAGATTTAGTGGCTAGAAGCAGAAATTTGCTACCTTTAGTGAAGGTGCCGTTTCTGAGCAACAAGATGATCGTACATTGCAAGAACTTGCTTAGGTGAGCTGACAGAGTATCATTGTTGCGAATCCATCTCCAAGATATATTTTACTCAATTTCTGAGAAAAATCTTGTGGCCTGTTTGTGGAGGAGGTTAGACTAGATGACCATAATGTTTTACATCATAGCTTTCAGAATCCAAATTTCTATGAAGCTTGGGAAAGTGCTAGAAAATCAGCTAGGTGTGATTTTTCTGGACAAGTTTCTCAGATGAATTGTATGTCCCTCATGACACAAACCCTGGGTTCTCCTACATTTTTTGGTTGCAATATTTGATGTGCTTCATATTAAGAAATTACTCCAGCCCAGACCTGAGGAGGTCAGCATAAGGATTTAGTGTTATCACAGATCACCTCTTTCTGATGCTGAATGATTGCAGCAATGTTAGTGATGATAACGTCACCAACGTCATTGGTAATGGCAAGACAGTGATCCCATGTTTAGCTCCATTTTTTATTTATTCTCTAGTGCATTCTTTTCTTTTTCTTTCCGGAATAATTCAGAGGGCATTCCAGTTTATGGAAGGCAGCACAGCCTTTATTTCTCTCGGCTGAGAGTTGGATCCAGTTTAAGGCTGCCCGCTGTATCTGGTCAGGAAAGGGAACATTTGACTGGTTTCTTGTCTACAGTGATGTATGTACACAGTGACCAGGTTTCTTATATTTGTAGAAGGGGAGCGCCATCTGCCGCAGGTAGGAAACTGAACAAGATGCTTCTGGGGAAGGCAGGAACTTTCCCCTAACATTTTAAATTAACCTCCCTTTCATATTTTTTGAGCTGCTCAACTCAAAGCTAGAGCCCTGTTAATGACCTCCTTAGCTGTCGCTGATGTCCGTGTTGCCACAGGGGAAGAAACATTGAATAATGGTCACAAAGTGCACAGCAGCTGCAAAACATGGTTTTCCCTCAAAACCAGTCCCAGCAGTGGACTGAGGGAACTAGCATAAATCAGGGCAAGGTCTGAGTGAACACTCTGGGATTAGCATTTTGAATGATCCTGGCTCGCTCACCTGCTGGTGCATGCTGCAAAGGGTTGGAGTGACGCCAAATCCTCACAGACAGACAGGCATCTAAAACCAATGTGTTTCGATAGTCTAAGCTGTGGCCTTGATTTCTGTTGCTGTGAAATTGGGTCTTTTCTCTTTATGCCTAGGTAGGAACGCACTTGCTCCCGCAAGGCTAGGAACCAGCTCCCTCTTGTGCTCTCTGTTGCTTCTTGCAATTGCTATCCCTGAGTGCTTCTAAACCCCACAGCTGCCAAGGATCAGAGCCTGCAGTTTGCATTAACTGTGCCGTGGGCTGTTTCTGTAGCCCTGCTAGCACAGATGGAGGTCTAATGCCTGGAGCAGGCAGTCCTTAGCTGGCAGGGTTAATACAGCCTGTCCAGGAAAAGGAATTCACTAGGCATAAGCCCTCTTCTGCTTGAATTTTTCATATAAGAAGACAGGTTTATGGTTTTTTTTAAGATTAGGCAGACCTCTATTTATGCCATAGGTAACAGTTAAAGCCAGAGAAAGTCAAACAGCCCCAAAGTAAAATTCTCAATGCTTTCTTTACTGTACAAACTCAATTAAACTTTACAAGGAGACTGAAACTTTTTAGATGTCTATAATACTGACATTGTTCACAATAGCATGATCTAAAATGAGTACCGCAGATACAGTTCAGGTGTTTTGTATCCAAAACCTTTAGTCAATTGTTTCAAGCAGCTAGAGAGCAATTTATCTCCACTACAAACCGGAACAAAATCATGACTTATGCCAACTGCTGATACGAATTTTCTGTTTTAAAAGGTGAATGGCAAGAACTCTCTGTCAAAAATGTCTTGTCTCAGAGTCAGAGACCTCTCAAAAGTATCTAATCTTGCAGACCAATGTGATCAACAACTGTCAGGGTGCGGAGGGCATTACTAAGTCTTAACAGCCTTGACCAGCTTCACCTGAGGCCTCCTCCAGGCTCTGCTCAGGCTCTGGAGCTCTATTTAAGCTCAGCCAGTAGTCCCTCCCTGAGCTATGTTGTAGGGGTACTGGTCTCTTGTTTAGCCACAGCCCCCTGATCCATGGCCCTGATATGTGGACTGACCTCAGTCCTGTCCTGTCCTTGTGGACCTGCCACGTGATGGCTGGGCTGGATCTGAACCTGGTTACCCTCAGTCAGCCTTGTCGAGGCCCTGCCCTGTGGATCAGCTTCCCAGCTTGACCTCAGACCCACCTCATCACCATGAATTCACCTGGTGACCTGGTACCTCAGCTAAACCTGGCTGCTGCCCATGGGCTGGCCCTGCTCCCTGGCCTGGCTACTGCAGGTCAGGCTGGCTGGCAAGGCCCTGGCCCTGCCAGTGCTGCCTTCAGCTCCCCAGCCCAGAGGGAGCAGCTGGCCCTGACAATGACCTGGCGGATAAACTAATAGGTACCAGTTTATGGCTGTTATGTGCTACTGAATCTCAGTAGAGAGCAGGATGACATGATGTAGTTTTAATATAGAAACTAATGCCTGTTCAGTCTTCTGTAGTATTCTTCTCAATCATAAAGAAGATATTGTATTTCTGAGGTGCAATTTAGTCACTGCTGTAGTAAGAAACCAGCAGCCTTGGGTTGTCCTCACTGCTGAGCAAAGCCTGCAGGTTAGGGTGCATTTCAGAAATAACAGAGCTGTGTCACTTGCAATGAGAAGGGGAGATTTGCTGGATCAACCACATTGCTTCAGAACAGAAGTGATGTGAGAAAGTGAACAATTACAAAGCTCAGTGTAAGCAAGGAGTTCACAATGAAATCTCTTAAGTAGTCAGTGTGACACTATGAAAGTTTTTAACACGTTATCTGGAGACAAGAAGCATTTGGAAAACTAGTGGACAACGTATTTACAACTACTGTACTGCTTGGCCGTAGTTAGCATTATAGCAGTCTACTCTAATTTCAGGTTGGAAGAGTTATTTGCTGAGAAGGGGAAAAGTAGTTCAGAAGCCTGGCTGCATTGCATCTAGCATATAAATTACCAGTCAAACATTCTTCTAAAAATCTCATGGAAATTATACATAGGTGAAGAATGTCAACCCAAATTCACATTGCCTTGCTTTGATTCCTCAGCAAAAAAACACTGGAAATTGTGTCAAAGTAAAGGGAAAACTTATGCTATTCAGAAAAGAAGCATCATCTGAATGATATCCCAAAATAGCTGAATGCTGATGATACTAAACTGGGAGGAAAGACTAACACACCAGAAGACTGTGCTGCCATTCAGAGGGACCTGGACAGGCTGGAGAGGTGGGCGGAGAGGAACCTCCTGAAGTTCAACAAAGGCAAGTGCAAGGTCCTGCACCTAGGCAGGAATAATCCCATGCACCAGTACAGGCTGGGGGTTGACCTGCTGGAAACTAGCTCTGCCGAGAAGGACCTGGGAGTGCTGGTGGACAACAAGTTAAACATGAGGCAGCAGTGTGCCCTTGTGGCCAAGAAGGCCAATGGTCTCCTCGGGTGCATTAGGCAGAGTGTTGCCAGCAGGTGGAGGGAGGTGGATCCTGCCCCTCTCCTCAGCCCTGGTGAGGCCTCACCTGGAGTACTGTGTCCAGTTCTGGGCTCCCCAGTACAAGAGAGACATGGCACTCCTGGAGAGAGTCCAGCGGAGGGCTACCAAGATGATTAGAGGGCTGGAGCACCTCTCCTAGGAAGAAAGACTGCAAGAGCTGGGCCTGTTCAGCCTGGAGAAGAGAAGACTGAGAGGCGATCTGATCAATGTGTATAAGTATCTGAAGGGGGAGTGTCAAGAGGATGAGGCCAGCCTCTTCTCCGTGGTGCCCAGCAACAGGACAAGAGGCAATGGGCAGAAACTGAACCACAGGAAGTTCCATCTGAACCTGAGGAAA